GCAACAATGATGTTGGAAATCTGTACTGCAATGACGACATTCTTCTACTACTTCCAACATGAATCTTCCTCGAAATATTCGTTATCAGCTCCTCAAGAGTTATGTTTCAATTCAATGATATTTTAACACGCTAATTTGATACGAAAACAATGTCGGTTTCATCTTCTCGAATTTCACCATCATAATAAACAATAGCTGAAAGTCGCGTCATTCTTTGAGTTTAAAAGTGCGGCAATATTAGATCTGCAAAAAAAACTAAAATAATGATGATTAAATAAATAATATATGAACGAAAATATAACATAATAAAATTTTTACACATAAAAGAAATAATTTAAATAATATAATTTTATATTATTACCTGTACCGCAAAACTATTTCGACGTATATTCCCGCTTTCTAATTTTACAAACACAGAAATTAATTGACAACAATTAGTATAATATTTTTTTAAATAATCATAATAAACAATAAATATAAAAAAATTATCTCAAAATTACCTTATAACGAAAAATCGCACAAACTTCTGAATAAAATATGAGAAAATTGTTAGAATTATTGACTCGTTGACGGAATTGTTGTATTAATTTATAAGTTGAGAGGAGAGATGTGAGGAGATGTGAGGAAACTAATCCGGGGGAGAAGGGTATTTATAGCCGAGAAAAGTTGTAACAATTATACAAGGCGCGGTACATGCCCCGTGCTATATATAATTATAAAGGTTAGGCGCGACCCCTGACCCGCGCTATACCCTACGTGGCGTGAGGCGCGCCCCACCACGTGGTGCCAAATCATCGTATAACGCGCTGCAGGGGGCGCGCCTTACTACAAAGGGTGTTATATCGTGAAATATAGTCTAACCGGTGTTAGATCGAGAAATATAGTCTGACCGGTGTTAGATCGGTAAATATACCGATCACCAGTGATTTTTTTAGGGAAAACGCCAGTTTTTTCTCCAGATATTATTAAAAACAACAATTTTTATTAAAATTCATTTTACTGAAGGATTTTAATAAAATTTAAAATAATATTTTTCTCGAAAGATATCTAAACTTTATATAAATAGAATTTGACTTTGATAGAAATAAAACTCCTTATAATTATTGAAAAAAATCCTATATTTTGAAATAAAGAGAAGACAACAATTTTTAATTAAATCATTTGTAACCCCTAGACCCGACCTGAACGTTATACCCAAACCTAAGTAGTCACATATCCCATTCAGAGATTCTTTTTATATTTAAATTTTTTTATAAAACATTAGATGTAATACGAAACAAAATATTGATAATACATATATATCCAAAACGATATAAAAATATATGTCACCAAATACAACTGGAAAACATATAGAGATATACGTTCATACAAAGTAAAAGTAGTTGATCTCTCCTGATGCCAAATCTGTTAGTTTAAGGTCTGCTGTTATCTGAAAAGGGAAAAATTTACAAAATGAGCTAAAAAAAGCCAGTGTGTTCCATACATTGTATAAAAAACATACTGAAAAAAATATTTCAGAAAAATTGGTTTATGCAAACATGTCTTTAAAAATATGAACACTACCCACATCCGGTCACAACAGAATGTGTAGGTTCCCTAGAACCATACAACACCGACACAACGGTAAGGCCCTGAGCACAAAGCCGATGAGCCTGCATATATATCCTCCAACAATACCCTCCCAATGTCAATAATGAACATGAATGCATTCAAGTGAAAACAATAATTAATCCTTTCAAACATAAAAATGTTTCATGCTTAGAAATCATATACAGAAATACAGAAAACAAAAGTCAATCAGTAATGTAGGGTAAATCATATATCAGATAAGCCATATTCAGAAATCAAGTATAAAAATATACCGTAACCAGAGATCATATCAGAAGTGTGCCATAAATCATATATCAAATAAACAATATTCAGATAGATATTTTAAAACCGTAAGATAACACCTTCAGGAAACACACCTGTAACAGTCTGAGTATTCGGATATGGTAGCCTACTACTGAGTCTGTCGATCATGCTCTGCTGCCTAGATCCTACGAATTGAAAAAATCCATATTGGAATCCTAATATGAATAATCTTAACATTTATTTAAATAATTTACGGAAACCTACAGGTAATTCTCGTAGTACGCGGTTCAGACTGATCTGACGAACGGACAACACCAAACCTAACTGATCCTCGCTCAGGTGAAACACGAGTACCTTCATAAAATATCTTATTGGATCAATTCCATAACCATATTTCAAATAAATAATAAAAAAATGCTAAAATACTAAGCATTTTTAGGTTAACGAGCTCAAATCGGGGATTTCGGGTTAGAATTTGGAAAAACGGATTTCGGAATCAAATTCAGGACGTCAAAATCCATAAACAATTACTTTTCAAAAATTTGACTTTTAGGTCAAAGTCAACGGGTTTGACTGATGATTTGAAGGCTTTTGGGTTCGAATTTGGCGAAACGGACCCAAAAATAGATTCAGGACGTCAAAAAACATCAGAATAGGTATACTCGAAAAAAATCGACGATCGTTTAATAGCCAGCTAACGCCGGTCAAAGTTCTAGTCAAAGGTGTTCAACGACAGTCAATTCCGGTCAACGATCAACGGGTCGGGTAAAACTGGTCAACGGTTCAAACTGCCCACACGCAGTGGTGGCGCGTGTGGGCGTGTGCGGTAGCCTACGGTTGCCTAAAAATCACGAAAAAAAATTCAAAAATTATTTTAAGCGATTTTGAGGCACTTACAAAGCTCAGTTCACAATTTTGAATGGTGGAGAGCTCGATTTCAACAAATCCCAAACTTTGACCGCTTCACCTCCCTCACGCGCCGCTGTCGACGGAGACAAAGAGAACACCAATGAACTCGAAACGACACAAGGAACACGATGGTGCGGGAGGTGTCGAAAACGAAGCAATGATTGGCGATGAATTTAAGATTTTCCCGGCGGTTGTGCTAAAAAAATGTCGAAACTTTGAATCGAAATTCACAGCGTTTGACAGCGTTTCACTTCAATTGATTTAAGCGGTTTGTTCATCACTCGATGACGAACACGATGGTGGTTTCAAATCGATGATCAGTGGTCGGACGAAGTCGGGATTGTGTTTGGAAGTTGGGCGTTGGAGGAGGAAATTTTAGCAATTATACTTCTGAGTTACCCTCGCAATTCCAATTCATCACGTTTAATAGAGTGTCTGTCGCCACTATTTGGCTAAATTTAGGGCTTGATCCCTGAATTTCCTTCAGCTCTAAAATAAGCTACAAGTTTTAAAAATTTTCAATTTAATCATCAAATTTGGCCAAATTACTTAATTAAATTTCCCCCCAATTTTCTGAGTTGTTACATCATTATTATCGGAATTCGATTATTATCATAATTGAATTCCTTTTAGTATATTAAAAATGTTAACTTTTCATTACTACCGAATTCTTTTAATAATGGTAAAATCATGTTTTAAGCCATATTAGGGATGGGCATGAACCTGAACCCGACCCGATCGGGTCAAGTTTTAAAAAAATTAGATTCGGGTCGGGTTTTTAAAATGTGATGTTCGGGTCGGGTTTAGGTTTAGGGTGAAAAATATCCGACCCGACCTGAAAAATATATAATTTCCATTATATATTTAGGAACAATTATAATAATACCCCTCTATATATTATTTTTTCAATTAAGTCATTGTTTTTATTGAATAAAAAGATTTTTTATTATTTCAAGTCGGGTCAGGTCGAGTTTTTAAGTTATATATCGGGTCGGGTTCGGGTCGAGTTAAATCTAGTTTTGGTCAGGTCGGGTCAGATCTCGGGTGGAAGATTCCTTGTTCTCGGGTCGAGTCGGGTGGACCAAAAATCCGACCCAACCCGACCCATGCCCATCCCCATCCCGTCCATGATATCCCTAGTCAAGAAAAGAAAAACTATTTCAGAATTAAAATGATAAATAAAATTTTAATTATCTTTAGAGAAAAAAAACATTTTACCATCATTTTCCCTCGCATACCGCAAAAAATGATAAATACACAATTGATATCTTAACTACCACTTTTATTATGTTTTAATTATTTAACTATTATTATTTTTTAAAATTATACATAACGTTACGTTTTGATTTTATTATGATTACTTGTTAAAAGATTAACATAATTGTTGATGTGACATAATCTTATAATAACATATCAGCATATTTGTTATTTTTTATCGATTGGTAACTAAAATATAATACTATGTATGATTTGAAATAAAATATAGTTGGATGACCAAAATTGACAAAAATTAATAGTTTTAGGACTGAACTTGTAGTTTATTAAAAAAATCCAGGCGGCGGTCCATTCCATCTAGTCATGCAACTAGAGCTAGAGAGTAATATGCCAACTAAATTCTTTCTTTTTCCGATCTTGACCAAGTGATGTGCCATAACAAAAACTAACATCAAGCCAGAAAGCTGGTAAAGCGATGGCAAAATACTAAACATCATTAATCCCAAAATTAGGCCGACTCCACACAAAATAAAAACAAAATGTAAAATATCATTAAAAAAGAGAGTTAATCATGAAAAATACCAAATTGCTATTCTTATAATTATTTTAAACAATACTTATAATTTTCTTAAACTCCTGAACTAAAAATTAGTATATTTTAATTATATTTGAATTCATAAATTCATAAACTATTAATTGAATTAAAACTCAAAGAAAAATATCTTTTAAATATTTGGATTAATGCAACTTATTTTGAAAAGAATATTGTTTTGACTATAAATAATTTTTCAAATTCTGACTATACTTATCGTCACTATGCCTCAAAGGTACATGTAAGCCAATTATAAACAGGCAGAATAAAGGATTTTTGGTCAGTGAAGAAGCTGATGAAAAGGGAAAGGAAACTGGTTGACATGGATCAGTATACATAAAAATCCAGTCTCTTGAAAACAAGAGAAATAGTTGGAGAGAATTGCTAATTTTATAAGATCCTAACACGCGAACAGTTCGATAAATCCAAATCTCAGGTCAAGTCTGCATCAAAAAAAAAACGTAGTTGTTGAGACTCAACAAGTCATCGAGAAAATCGTAAAAAAATTGCGATTAGACAGCCTCCGAACTTGAAATTTTAGTATTTTACTATTCCATATATCGTCTTAATTGGCTGCGCTCTTACTTGTTCATCTCCAATCCCACCATTTTCTATAAGAAGCTCTTTGGGGTTTTCTCTTTTGAGTCAAAACTATCACTTCTCCTCCCTCGCGTCGCGTTTCTGAAAGAAGAGAGATCCGATCCGATCTGAAAATGGGGGAGAAATGGGTGTTGATGAAAACGGCTCAGACCCCCACCAACATAGCGGTGATAAAGTATTGGGGAAAGAGGGACGAGACCCTTATTTTGCCTGTCAACGACAGTATCAGCGTTACTCTCGATCCTGCCCATCTCTGTACCACAACCACCGTCGCTGTCAGCCCTGCTTTCCAACAAGATCGCATGTGGCTTAATGGCAAGGTAAATTTCTCTACATAAAATCTAAAAGATATAACAAAGATGTCATAAATGTTAATTGAATTATGGGTTTTCTTATTTATCTTTTGCTGGTTACCATAGGAAATGTCCCTTTCCGGAGGAAGGTACCAGAACTGTTTGAGGGAAATCCGAAAACGGGCTAGGGAAGTTGAGGATAAAGAGAAAGGAATAAAGATAAATAAGAAAGATTGGGAGAAGCTGCATCTCCATATTGCATCTTATAACAATTTTCCTACTGCAGCTGGATTGGCTTCCTCCGCTGCTGGTTTTGCTTGTCTTGGTACTATATTTACATGAAAATATACCTACCCGTTAATCTTTTTTTCTCTTCCATTTTCCTTCGATGATCAATACAGTTTATAGGGCTAATGGTTTTTGATTCGATGCAGTTTTCGCACTTGCAAAGCTTATGAATGTGGAGGAAGATGAAAGTCAACTTTCTGCTATTGCTAGGTATGACCATTTCACTTTAAGGAATGAAAGAATTGTAGTTGTAATTCAAGTGACGTTTATTGATTTTTTTTTTTTAAATTCGTATAGGCAAGGTTCAGGCAGTGCTTGTCGCAGTTTATTTGGTGGATTTGTTAAGTGGATTATGGGAAAAGTAAGTTATTTCTGAATGTGTTTAACAGTTCATTACTGTATGTATTTAACAATTCACCTTTCATCAATAAGGTCAGTCTCGATTGAGTAACCAATGCTAATATTTTCTTCGAAATTGAAACATCTAGGAGGAGGATGGGAGTGATAGTCTTGCAGTTCAACTAGTGGATGAGAAACACTGGGATGATCTTTTCATCATTATTGCCGTTGTGAGTATTTACTCCAATCCTCACGTTTCACATTCTTCCATAGTATAGGTTTACAGTTGCTACTCTGCAGTGAGATAATTTTTCCCTACAAGAACACAAAATATGTTGCAATTAGATTTCCCTAAATTCTGTGATTCTATCTTGATGGATTTGCACCCATTTCTGATAGTTTGGTATTATTGGTTGCTGAGACTTCTAGTTTTGCAAGTTGAATTAAAATGCAGTAAATATATGAAAATTAATATTTGATTTGCATTGTTTTGATCACTGGAGAACGTATAACCTCAGATCAATTTCTTCCCATGCTTTGCGTCTGAAGTAGTTCCTTATTTTTCCCGCTCAGTTTCCCCATATTCAGACTAGTTATCTTCTTGTGTCATATAATACATGCACACATATCTATTTTGATGCATAAATATACATCTGATCATTTTTCATTCACATAAATGTATGGATATATACATGCACATATATTTATTTATCATCATTTGTGTATAATTTGAGTATTATTCTGTTTCTTTTGCATGTTGCGCATACATTTAATATGTGTTCTGAAGTTTATTAACTTTACATTTTTGCTTTATCTTTCTATTCTAATTTATCAAAAATATTCTCCAATCTTTGAGGTGCTGAACTTGTAAACAGTGTTTATGTATCTTTCTTAGTTGAAAAACATTTCCAACTTGGCATATGGTTGGGTCTTGTATTCTCCTGATCTGCTTCTATCCAACAGGTTTCTGGAAATGTTCCCAGTAACTGAAGTCAGTTTTGCAATACTAATCTGAATATTAATGAAGATAAAAGCCTGTAAAATTTTATGTTCGATTTATGTTTGGTGTTAATTTCTATTTTTTTGGCTCTAGGTAAGTTCACGGCAGAAGGAAACAAGTAGCACCTCTGGAATGCGTGAGAGTGTTGAAACAAGTTTGCTTTTACATCATAGAGCAAAGGTGCTTTTTGGTTTGTTTTTAAAATTACTCTGCAATTTGCTTAGGTGGAACCAAAATAAAAATCACTTGATGTTTTAATCATTGAAATAAGATTTTGAGATTGTTTGAACTTGTACTGGCTCATGCCTTCTTGTTACTGTTTTGGACTGAAATAGGAAGTTGTGCCAAAACGCACATTACAGATGGAAGAAGCCATAAAGAACCGTGATTTTGCATCTTTTGCAAAATTAACTTGTGCTGATAGTAACCAGTTCCATGCAGTCTGTTTGGATACATCTCCACCCATATTCTACATGAATGATACATCTCACAGGCAAGTCCTGGTTTACGAATGCTGATTCCTTTTAGGGGTTTCGTCCTTTTAACTCTAGAGTTGAGTTTTGATGAAGTGGTTATCTTTCAGGATAATAAGCCATGTTGAGAAGTGGAACCGTTCTGAAGAATCTCCCCAGGTTTGCTTATTTCTGCCATTTTATTTGCAGCAAATGACCTTAATATTGAACATTTATCAGTCTAATCAGTAATCCTATAAGTTAAGAAAGGTAGTATGACAGTTGTAAACTTTTGAAAAGATAGTAAAATGTGGAGTGCAGGGCTACCCTTGAATCATTCTGTTTGTTGGGGCCCTATTTATTGAGTCAATATGCTTGGGCAGTGGAATATGTATGCTATTTTGATCAGAGGTTATGTTGCATTGGGCCACTCAATTGTTGTGTTGCTTGCTTCATTTGTGAACCATTTTGTTTGTTCAAGCCTCAAACATGAATCGATGGATAACCTAATGCTCAAACAATAACAGTTTAATCATGAACATGAATGCAACAGAAAATAAAACATAATATATATAACATGCTATCTGAGAGATTCTATATCAAACATGATTAGTAATCTTACCTCAGCTCTTAAATATCAGAATCTAGAGTTTAAATGACCCCCATATCCTTTGAACTCCAAGAGTTTTGTTGAGGTTGAGCCATTAAAGTGTTTTTCTAGGCTCTAATGGTGATCTAAAGGGATGATCAATCGGTTAAGTCAGTCAGTTTTCGTAAATAACCAAACCAATAAACCTCCAACTATGACAGAACCAACCGACCTACATAGTTCTTAACTGACCTAACCATACTGACTTAACATCGGCAAGTTAAAATCGGTTGACTGACCTTTTCTTCATTTATTTATTTGGATTTAATATAAATTTGGGTTGGCTTGGCTGTTTGGATTGGGTAATTTTTTTTGGAATTGGGTTGTTGCCTTCTTGGGTTGGAGCTGTAAATTAGGTTGGATTAAATTTTAATTATATATGATAAATTGTTTAAAATAAATATATTTAAATCCAGTCGGTTAAGTTAGCATGTTTGGTTATGAAATTAAATAACCAATAACTGATTAACTTAACCATTTAACCAAAGCCTGAACCAAATTTGCCAAAATAATTGACTTAACCGAAACCAAAAAAAGAATGTGTCGATTAAGTTGGTTTTAACTCACTTTTTTTGGCCCCTAGTGATCTCTAGGTTTGTATGACATTTGGGTTAGTGTATTTGCAAAATATGAACTTCTTGATTTCTCTTTCTTTATTGGTAGTAGCTAACCGTTGGTTTCAGTCTTTTTTTTTCTTTCCCTCTAATTGTAGTCAAAGAATGCTCTGAAATAAAAGCTCATACGACATGTATTTAATTGGCTAATTACTTTATGACTAGGCATTATCCCATCATGGTTGATATCTTTTATTCAAAATGTGTTGTTGATGATAACCAAGTTCATCCTTTTGAATTATATTTTTATCCTCACTGTAGTGTGCTGAGACCTTGTATAATATTAGCTGCGGCATTCCTAAAAGAATTTAATATTCTCGAGAGTACCTTTATATGCATATGTGTGTGCGTGTGCGTGTGCGTGTGCGTATGTGATGGTTATGTTACTTCCAACAACTTCTTGCCATCATTGTCTGAACTAGAGCAATCTATTTAATGTCGGGATAAAACCTTGTCATTCAACCTTTAGTATTTGTGCTGGGCTTCTTGGAGTTTTGCTTTTCTTTTTCTTGTTTTTTTTTTTTTTCTTTTTTGAAGCAACTTTCCTTAGAAATTTATTATGAAAAACTGACAGGTGGCATATACATTTGATGCTGGACCTAATGCAGTTTTAATAGCACGAAACCGAAAGGCGGCTGCTCAATTACTTCAGCGGCTGCTTTTCTCCTTCCCTCCAAAATCTGAAACTGATCTGGACAGGTAAATGGAAGTACAGGTGCTAAGAAGCATGATGTCGGTATTGGATTATTCTAATACATATGAAAACATCCATTCGTGTATCTTACAGGCTCTTTTGTCACTGCAATCTCACCCATTTTCCTACATGAAGGAATTCTCAGATATTGACTTTTTTTACTTGTACTTTTTCCCCATTATATTCAGTTACATTATCGGTGATAAGACGATACTCCAAGATGCCGGACTGGAGGGGATAAAGGAAGTGGAAGCTTTATCCCCGCCTCCCGAAAATGGTTCTGCCCAGAAATACCCTGGAGATGTCAATTACTTCATTTGTACAAGACCTGGGAAAGGCCCTATTCTGCTTTCAAATGAAAATCTGGCTCTTCTTGACCCGGAAACTGGGCTTCCCAAGTAAGAAGTGCCTTGCTTTCTCTATGCAACTTGGGTAAACTTATCTTCTAAGGAAACTGGAATGTCTCTGAGATGGCAAAATGCCAGTTAGGTTTAGCTATGCAGCTTGTTATCCTTTATGTATTTGTAGTTTCTTTTCCCCCCCTTATATTTAAGATTTGAATCCTCACCATGATTGAAACAATATTGAATAATTGCTTGCTTCTTTCATCTTCTAAACCTCTGGTATTTCCTTGTAGTTTCCAATTGGTAATGTAAGAGACTATTGTTCATTTCCCGCACATTCTCACCTTTATTTATTAATTTGAAACTAAAAAAGAATGGAAATTTGTTCACTCGGAGCTTAAATTTGTTGGTTTATACACTCATTTTAGGGTAAACCGATTCGATTATCAGTTAAATTCTGATTTGATTATTGGATTTAAAAATTACTTTCTTATCACTTGATTAATTGGTCTTTTTATTATTATTATTTTAGCTATTGCACTGTTAATTTATCCCATTCATACTTTTAACATATCGCCAAAGGTTGTTCCTTTATTTAAAAAAAAATAGATGGGCTTTAGTTCGAACGGAGAAATTAAGAGGAATTGATTAAAAAAATAAAAAAATAACAGAAAGATAAAACCTCTTAGTTGAAAAGTGATTTTTTAACAAAAACAAATAATGGAAAACTAAAAGGAAAACCCAAACAAAACCTAGAAGAAAAACCCACAATTTTATTAAATCTAAAACACGCAATGGAAAATGAAATATAAGATACATAAGAAAGAGGAAAAAATCGAAATTGAGATTTACTTTTAAATAATTAGTATTAAATTAAAAATAAAAATATTAAGAGTTTTTTATAATTATAGATTAAATTGGCAAAATAAATAAATTAAAAAATTAAACATGTTATTATATTAGTTATCTAATTGATATAATATATTTTTGTCAGAAATTAATGATATGAAACAATAAAAAATAATTAATTAAACGAAACATAGCTTAATTAATAGTTAGATGATTGTATGCCTCGTCCATTCTTCATTTTAAAATGAACTAATATTTACAAAAAGTGAGATAATAAGATTCGAAAAGTATTATATGTGATTAATTAAAAATATATTTTAATTATAGAATGAGAATGTGCTATAAGATTTACACATAAAATAAAGGGTAAAATATGTATTTAGTAATCGAATTATTATTTTGATTTTGTTTTGGTGATTTAATTAATAATTTTTTAAAATCATCATTAATATTACATTTTAGTTTCATTTTGATCTCCTACTATTAAAAAATTATAATAATATTGATATATCACCATAAAAGAATGTCACATTATCATTGAAAAAAATAAAATATCACATTAATAATTCTATTAATTTTTTAATAAAATAACTAAAATGAAATCAAAATATAACGTTATTGTTGATTTAAAAAATTAGTTAGATAATTAAAACAAAACAAATCTAAGGGTGATTAAATACGTAGTTTGCTCTAAAAATAAAAGAGCAACGATGCCGTTTTTGTGCCGATTACATTTAAAACTACATAAATAATGCTCGAGGAATACCCGCTGGTTTTTATATCTTTCTTTTCTCCTCTTAGGTACCGTTTCCCTTTTCTTGCTCTTCAATCCAAGCTCTGAGTCGGTGAAAACATATGGCAGCCTCTGCGATTGTGTCGGAACCCAAACCAGCGGCGGAGTCGCAGATTCCCAACACAAGACCCGATCTTGGGCAGTACCCTTCAGTGGACCCAACGGGTGCCGAAGAGGACGATCTGTACTGCCGCCTGAAAACCCTTCAAAGGCAGTTGGAGTTCATAGACATCCAAGAAGAGTATGTGAAAGACGAACAGAAGAATCTTAAGCGAGAGCTTTTGAGGGCACAGGAGGAAGTCAAGCGGATCCAGTCGGTGCCCTTGGTCATTGGCCAGTTCATGGAGATGGTCGATCAAAACAATGGAATCGTGGGCTCCACAACGGGATCCAATTATTATGTAAGGATTTTAAGTACCATTAACAGAGAGCTGCTAAAGCCGTCGGCTTCGGTGGCTCTTCACCGCCACTCTAATGCTTTGGTCGACGTTTTGCCTCCCGAGGCCGATTCCAGTATCTCTTTGCTTAGCCAATCCGAGAAGCCCGACGTTACATACAACGTTAGTTTCTTTCCTTTTTTTTCTTTTGAATCTGTTTTGAAGTTTGGTATTATTTTGATTCATTTGGATTTAGGGTTTCATAATTTAAGGAGAGTTATTTGGAACTAGGGTTTTACTTCCTTTCTATTTAAATTAGGGGAATTTTGGTTAAATGTCCGGAAAAGGAAATTTTAAAATTCGGGAAATTGAGATTGTTAGAAAAAAGGAAAGTTTAAAAGAGGTAGTTTTGTGGAACTGTGTGATGCACATAGCTTGAAGTTCTGTTGAACATTCAGAATTTTGATGTTTGAGTTTGAGCCTTGAGGCTATGGATTTTATTTTGAACTTTTTTATGAACTCGTTAGAAAAGTAGACATAGGCTAGGCCTCAAGCTGGAATATAACATGGAGTGAATTTAAAATGGTACTTGGGGAAATTGGCTTCATAGCTTTGTATATATACGCCTTTTAATTATCAGCAGGCAACATATTGCCTTATCCCATGTAATCTACGACTTCCATGTTTCCTAAGTTTGCTCGCAATTTCAGTTGTGCTAGATGTTCCTGAATGATTAATTGGTTAAGATTCATGAAGATGTGATACCATTTATGTAGAACTGATGTATTCAGCACCCAAGCGTTTCAGCTTTTTATTTGTTATATCTAACAATGATACTTCACATGTAGCATGAGTTTGAATGATAGTGGTTTATTTTAATATGCTTTTTGTGTTGGTGGTTATTGCATTATAACAAACAATATGATAATCTGAGTGTCTTCTAGAATTCATAGTTGTCCATGTGTTTTGTAATCTTCAAAATTTACTATTATATTGAAAATGCTAGAATGTCCTCTAACTTATTGTGACAGGATTTTTGCTTCATTTGCCTTATATGATTGACATTAAGAGCAATTTATTTGCTAGTAATTTAGTTGCCTCGTTTCTGTTAAATGTGTTTGAATGTTCTATTATCTTAGTTCTTTTCTGTACTATAAGTTTTGCTGTGGTACATTGACAGACTCTCTTTGAGTACATATCTTTTTGCTTGGAATGAAAATGACAATAATTATGCTTTTGGTGTACTTTCTGGAATATGAGACCTTGTTTTCTTATCTTAGGATATTGGAGGATGTGACATCCAAAAACAAGAAATTCGTGAGGCAGTGGAGTTACCATTGACGCATCACGAGCTCTACAAGCAGATTGGGATAGACCCTCCTCGTGGCGTTTTACTCTATGGTCCCCCTGGCACTGGAAAAACCATGCTTGCAAAGGCTGTGGCTAACCATACAACAGCTGCCTTCATTAGAGTTGTTGGATCTGAATTTGTTCAAAAGTATTTGGGTGAGGTAAGGAGATGTAATGGTCAAGTTTCTTTTAATTGTCATTACTAAATTCATCACCCCTTTATTAATGCAATACTTAGTTATCTGCCTTCAATTGACTTCCCTTATTACTGATTTTATCAAATACTGGCTACTATCATCTTCTGTTGGTGGATAATAATATCTTGAGCATTGCTTTGTCTCAGGGTCCAAGGATGGTTCGTGATGTCTTCCGTCTTGCTAAAGAGAATGCTCCGGCTATCATCTTTATTGATGAGGTAGATGCCATTGCCACTGCTAGGTTTGATGCTCAAACTGGAGCTGATAGAGAAGTTCAGCGTATCCTCATGGAACTCCTGAATCAGGTATATATGAGGGATTGCCAATATATCAATAAAGATGTTGCTTAGAATGTTGTATCCTTCAACATATACAAGGAAGTTGGCGTTTTAATTACGGAAACCCTTTTTCTGAACTATTGCTTTTGCACCCAACTTTTCTAGATGGATGGATTTGACCAGACTGTGAATGTTAAGGTCATTATGGCAACCAATCGAGCAGATACTTTGGACCCTGCTCTTCTTCGTCCTGGAAGGCTTGACCGAAAGATTGAGTTCCCTTTGCCCGATAGAAGGCAGAAGAGGCTTGTTTTCCAGGCAAGCTAAATCAATGTCTATATCATTATTGTAGTTCAAGTTCATATCTGTATATTTTTCTTTTGTTTCTTTCCAAGTCTGGTTTAGATTGTGAATAGTAAATGTTGCAATTTATTTTCCTAAGGTAATGTTTCTCCTCACAGGTTTGCACTGCTAAAATGAACCTAGGTGATGAGGTAGACTTGGAGGATTATGTTTCGCGGCCAGATAAAATTAGTGCTGCAGAGGTTTGTTTTGGCATGCTTTCAAAGCTCCCCATATATTTATTCTCTCTAGTTTTGGTCATAAATATATTTTTACTCATTAATCGGCATGCCTGTTTGATTGAATCAGATTGCGGCCATCTGCCAAGAAGCTGGAATGCATGCAGTGCGCAAGAACCGATACGTCATACTTCCCAAGGACTTTGAGAAGGGTTACAGAACAAATGTGAAGAAGCCTGACACCGACTTTGAGTTCTACAGATGAAGAGATAAATTTATGAATGCTGATAAGTATGTGTGGGACTATTACATGCAAACATTTGTTGCGATGCGGGGCATGGCATGCCGTGCCGTACTTAAAACTTTGAGCTATGCCATGTTCTGAGAACGTTTTTCAATTGCAAAAGGAGAATGCTCTATTAGTTGAGGTATTACAAGTTTGAAGCAAAACTACTGGCTCTTAGATATTTGCTATGGGAAATTTTTCATATTATGAAAATAGTATGAAAATAACTTGGACATGATAACACAAAGTGCAGAAACTTGCATGAACCTTACTGGTACATGGTTTAACTTTTGACGAGAAAAAAAGTTAAATGGCCATAATAGCGGTAGGTCTGAGTGATGAATGCTGTGACTTTCTCCTTTTGACATCCCAAAGCAAAGAGATGAGCTAAAAAGCACTTAAAATCATATTATGTGTATGCCTTCTCAATGCCGGTTATCACGGGCACCTCCAGCTGGCCATTTAGTTTCACTCTTCTTTTGGCTTTATACAAAAATTACCCCCTAGACTTCACATTTTTTCTACTTATATTGTCAAATTCTCCTAGTCTGATTATGTTATATTTTTCAGTTCATAAAAACATGACACGTGATAAGAAAATAAAAGTTCGAGTGCCAAAACATAAATTCGGGTGCCACTTCTAATAATAGTCCGAAAAGGGGTATTTAAGTGAGGAAAATGCATCACTTTGAGGAGGTTAATTCTTGTATTAAACCTTTTCTTAATGATAAAAATTCAATTGATTATTCTTCTAAAATTATTGCTTAAATCAAATAGGATTTGAAAGAATAATGACTTGGAATTTGGATTTTGTGAAAAACAATATGCGTTAACATATATAAAAAAAAAGTATATAAAAGATAAAAGAAATTTGGGAAGAGTTACGGGTAAAGGGAGATAAAGTTCCATGACACAAATTGATATGGTTTCCCCTCTACATCCCCAAACTTAGCATGATTACTTGGATGACATTTCAGGATAGACTCCCAAGTCCCAACTAGGGAGAGGCTTCTACGTATGGGAATCGTTACTGATGGATTATGTGTAATATGCAATGAAGTTCTGGAGACTAGGGACCATTTGTTCATTGAATGCTCTTTGGTTGTTTTCCTATGGAAGGCTATTCTGAATCTCACTGGCTTGAGCATACCACTTTTGTCATGGGTTAACATGTTAGCTTGGGCTTGTGGTGCTTGGAAAGGTAAGTCCCTTTATTTACTATCTTGAAGCTTGCTTGGTGTGCATTTATTTATTCCCTGTGGGAGGAAAGAAATAGAAGATTGTTCTGAGGAAGTTCAGGAAATGTTGATGAGATCCTGAATTCTATTAAGGAGATTATAGGTATTCAATTAAGAGGAAGGAATATAAATAGATTAGATAGTGTTAATATAAATCTTTGTAATCATTGGGGTATATATTAACCATTTGTTGTTGTAAGTAGGTTATCCTTTTGTTCCTTGGATGAGATTGATTTTGTAGCAGAACTCTGTCTTTTTGGGTAATAAAATTAAATTTTCCAAATAAATATATATATATATATATATATTACTAAAGGATCTTTTTTATTGTTTTAGAAAAATGTCGCTTTAACCTTATAATGATAGGAAATAAAAGAAAGGAATAAAACTTATAGATAAAACATATTTTGCTAACATTTCAGTTCGTTTCATTACAACACTTTCTCACTATAATATTTCAACTTAATCTATAAGTGTCAAGTGAAGACTCGTTGCATTCAAGGAGGAAATCTAAGTTCGATATTTGGAGGCGACATTATTAGAAATAATCACGAATTCTGCACGTAAAATAAAAAGAAAAAGGAAATAGAATATTTCAACTCAAACTTTTACAATTATATCTCAATTTCAGTTAACAGCTATGTTTAAATTGAATTACCAAATAGGCTGTGGGAAGGAAGAAGGAATGACGATGCGTGAAAAGGACAACACTTTTACTTTCCATGAACATGTCGTGGTCCACGCATAATTACCGCCATTCATGCCTCAATGAACGAAAAAGAAACCTATGGTTGACAACTTGAAGAGCACTTGAAATGCTCCCTTCTCTGCTGTAAATTCTACACTTTCAAGACCGTCCTCCATTTTCCCTTCAATGCCCAAGTATCCGAACCCAAAACCCCATTTCACCTTCCTCTTCGTCACCTTGTTCGCTTGTTGCTTCTTTCATGGCAAGTCATCGTCTTGGCTCAACACCGAAGCCAATGAAGTTGTAATGGTGCAAAGCAGGAGTCAGGATTGGCCTAAGAGATGTGATTTCTCAGTTGGTAAATGGATATATGATCAATCATACCCTTTGTATGACTCTAACTGCCCATATCTTAGTACTGCAGTCGCCTGTCAAAGAAATGGAAGGCCAGATTTTGGCTATGAGAAGTGGAAATGGAAGCCAAATGGTTGTTCTCTTCCAAGGTACTTACTTCGAACATAATATCGTCGTGGAATCGAAAACAGGGTTTTAGATGCAGGATTCGAATCCTGATCCACTCAATGCTATCTTTTTAAGCCTTAGCTAGACAAGGAAGTCAGTAACTTTAATTTCTTGAGCTGATATTGTGGTTTCAGGTTTGATGCACTGAAATTTCTTGGGAAGATGAGAAGGAAAAGGATAATGCTGGTGGGTGATTCTATTATGAGGAACCAATGGGAGAGTCTGGTTTGCCTGGTGCAAGGAGTTATACCAACAGGACATAAAAAGGTGACCTACAATGGTCCTTCAATGGCCTTCCATGCCATGGTAAGAGAGACATGAATGAAAAAAAAAACAAAACCCTTTTCTTTTTTATTGTTGCTCAAGCAAAAGGACTGATTTATTACAGGATTTCGAGACATCAATAGAGTTTTTTTGGGCTCCATTGCTTGTGGAGCTGAAGAAAGGAGCTGACAACAAGAGGGTCTTGCATTTGGATTTGATTGAGGAGAATGCAAGATATTGGAGAGGTGTTGATGTTCTTGTGTTTGACTCGGCACACTGGTGGACTCATTCTGACCAATGGAGTTCGTAAGTATTCTTGTCCGACGCATAAATGTATTCAACCATCGTTTCTAAGTTCAAGTAACATAAATCATGAGTACTCGAAGCAGTAACCGATGTCAAAATTGTGTTCCAACAACACATATACAGGTGGGACTATTACATGGAGGGAAAATCTCTCTATAAAACCATGAATCCAATGATTGCATACCAAAAAGCACTCACAACATGGGCAAAATGGATTGAATTGAATCTCGATCCTCGAAAAACCAGAGTTATTTTCAGAACAATGTCGCCTAGGCATAACAGGTATCAAACGAGTCCTAAATTCAACTCACTTTATGCTCCTTTATATCCCCATGCTTTCTCAAACAAAGCTGATTTTTTTCCTTGTCTTTTTTGTTCATTGCAGACAAAATGGCTGGAAATGCCATAACCAGAAAACTCCCCTTCAAATTTTCAGCCACCCTCATGTTCCTGAACAAGTTGTTGTGCTGAAAGGAGTATTAAGAAGAATGGGATTTCCAGTATATCTACATGAAATTACGACGATGTCGGCTTATCGAAGAGACGGGCATCCTTCTGTTTATAGAAGGGCATTGAACCAAGCACAGAGGCAGCACCCGAGAGAGTTTTCATCCGATTGTAGCCATTGGTGCCTCCCTGGGGTGCCTGATATTTGGAATGAGATGTTGAGTGCAATGCTCTAAACAAAGTCACCAATGTTGAACTGGTTTTTAACTGTTTCTACCAAAAATGTAGTCTTTGCACTCTCATCAGGGTTAGATTTGTCATGGTTTTTGTGTGAAAATGTTAAGAGAGAGTGACGGTGTATATGTTTGGCATGCTCAATTTAGTCAATCATCCGTTTATTTGTGTGTTGATTGAGTGTTCATGTTACTTCAGGAAGTGTTCTGCAGCTTTTTACTTCGTTTTCCCCCTGGCTACGGTATGTGTTTCTAGTGGAACTTTATTACCTAAACGAACTTAGTCGAGTTCGAGTATTGCTAAGTTTGACTCGATTCAAAAAATTCAAAACTTAGCTTGACTCAAATTGAAAGTTTGCGAGATTAAAATTGCTAATTTTGATTTGAAATTGAAATAAAAAATTGAAACTCGACTCGAACTAGTAAAAATTTGAACTTAAAACATTCTTAGATTTGGTTTGATTGAAGTTCGAACTTGATCTCTGTTCAAACTTGACTTCAAACTCGAACATAAAAGGTACATGAAAATCTTATATATTATATATATATATTAAAAAATAACATAAAAATATTAATATTATTAATAATTTAATTTTAAAAAATAGAAATTTAATATACTATTTATTTGAGTTGCTCGCGAGCTTTTTCTAATTGAAAATCAAGTAGTCTGTTTTAGCTCTTTAAGAACTCGAGTTGAGTTCGAGCTCCAATCAAAATTATTAAATTCAAATATTGACCAAACTTTGATCGAGTCAAATAACTTAAGATATGTTTGGTCTTGTATACAACCCTAAGAGTCTGTTTGGATCAAGGAATTTAGTATTCCCAGCAGGCATATTTGTTTACTGATGAAGGATACCCATGTTTGGTTGATGTATGATTCCTAAGTGAGGGTAATTTTATATTACCAACAGTAATTTTTGGGTTTTATTACTGGGAATGTTATTCCCGTATGTGTGTTAGGTTTTATTTTATTCCCGTGCTAAGGGCTAAAATACCCCTCTTTTCCGGCTTGCCTCTGCGTGATATCTTCTTCTCCCCGTGTTGCGAAAAATTCATCGCTCCTAGTAAGATTTCTTCTCCACTCCCTTTCTTCTCCCCCGCTAGCATATGTTTTTGGGTCAAAAAGAAACCTTCTCTTTACCGGAATTATTTATTTCAATACTATTCCCTTAAACCCTCCATTGTCGCTCTCTTACCCAGTCAAAGACCTGATTCTTAAGCTCTTCCCTTCTCTTCTTCTTCTGTTCAAAACCCTAGAAATTCTCTCTCTAGGGTATGATTTCTAGTCTTTTGTTGAATATTTGATCGTTGTTCTCTGTGTTTTTTTTTATTTTTTCTGGTTCATGTTTTTTTTCTTTTATTTTTATGCAATTTTGATCTGCACTGTTGTTTAATGCTCTGCTCTTTATTTCTGTAGGATTTTTCTTTCTTTCTTTTTACATGACTATTTGCATATTGCTGTGAATTTTAACATAGTTTCTTATTTCACGTTGCTGGTCATTCCGAGACTCTGTTTTTACTACACTGCTATTTGTTTTTGAAGTTACAATGTCTTATAATTCTGTACCCTTTGTTTCTTTTACTTTTTTCACCCTGCTTTTCCTCCATTGTTGAGCCTAGAACAATGTGTGCTGATTTCTCGCCATTTATTGTTAAATTCGAGCATATATTGTTGGGCTTCGTTGTCTTTTCTTGAAGTGCATGTTCTTGACATGGGTGCAGGATAATGATATACGCCACTCACACACCCTAATCTGCAGAGTCTTCTAAAAAATTAGGTAGACAAATCGCGTTATGAAGTTAAAGAAAGTTGATGGTTCCTCAATAGTCGTAGATGCTTTCAATAAATAAAAAATGGATACTTGATATTTCTACAAGGAAAGGATAATCGCTCTTGTTAGGGTTTTCCTCTTTCTTTTGTTAAAATCGTTTTGAAGAGAGGATTTGAGAGATTTTTGTGTAATATATTGTTATGTTTTTATCAATGACTCTAAATCCCTTGTTCCTTCTAATGTAATTGTAATTTGAAGGAAATTAATTAGAAACTAATTTTATTACATTTTTGTTGACATTTTGGTTGTTGGATTGAATTTAAAATGACCCATAAGTCTATTCTTGAAGATGAACTGATTTGATTAATTTCTCATTATTTTTTTATTGAGCTGAAAATGATCCATTAGTCTATTCTTGAAGATTTTTTAGGTTAAGGGATGATCAGTTTGTCATTCAATCATAAAAAAAAGCTTGCTTTTGTCCTTGAAAGTGCTGAAAAAGCTATTTTTTTCTTTCTTTTTTGGTATAAATTTTCTTTGAGAATCTGGAACTAAAACGAGTTGAGTTCGATTTTATATGATCTTCATTAGCGTATCCATTTTCTTGGGAAATCTTATTACAATTTTACAATTCAATGTCTATATGTAGATTTGATGGAAGTTGAAGAAGCACTTCAAATATTGATGTCAATGATGTCTATTGTTTCTAGGTTTTTTGGTTTGAAATCTTTTTTCTAGCTTATTATCGAGTTAAAACTCGAGTCTGATGAGGATTTAGAGGTAGCTGTTCTAAATATTGGTTGCATCTGTGAAAGCTTGTTGTTGTTCTTCCATATTCTCTAAGTTCTGAATGGTAATTGTTGTCTCGTTTATGGATACCTTACATTCACCAATGGTGTTATTGAGACAATGCTCCTTTGATACTCAATAAATATGGAGTTTTTCACTCGTTCGTAATTATGAATTCTATTTGATAATTCAATGTCTTCAATTTTTTTGCTTTATTTTCAAGTTTTGATGTGTAAAATCATATGAAGTGGCTTCAATCTGATCTTGATCCTTTTCATTTCAGGGAACATCTTTGCTTTCGGGCTTTTCGTATCGCCCTTGTATGTTCTATTTTCCAAGTTTTAAGAATTTATCATTGAAATGAATAGATTGGCATATCTTATCCTCTAATTAGTTATGGCTATTGTCTTTTGTTTTAACTTTTCAGACCCACGTTTAAAAGAATTATCAGAAACCAGTCTACCGAGAACTTCTCGGGATTGCCTTATATATATGCTCTCTTGAACTGCTTGATCTGTACGTGGTATGGCACGCCCTTGATATCTTATGACAATGTGCTGGTTATGACGGTTAATTCGATCGGTGCAGTTTTTCAAATGACCTACATTATCATCTTCATTGTGCATGCTGATAGAGAGAAAAAGGTTATCTTTAGATGCATTTGTTTTTACATACCATTTGTTTCTTAAGTGCACTCTGTAATCTGTATTGTTCTCATGTTGCCTAGACTCTCGTGCTCTCGTATGATATGAGGAGCCTCCTCTCGTACCATCGGTCTAGGTGTTGAATATTAAGTACTTTAAGAAAAACGGGAAGTCCGGGTACCATAGGTGTTGTTTTCCACTGTCAGTCATATTCTTTGTGTTGATGGCAAATTAGGATGATTGGGTTGCTACTAGCAGTTTTTGGCTTTATCGCAATCATAGTTGCTGGAAGCTTGCAGATAGCCGACCGAGGAATGCGATGGATCTTTGTTGGGTTATTAAGTTGTGCTTCTCTCGTATCAATGTTTGCTTCCCCGTTGTTTATAATCGTAAGTTGGTTGATCAAATGCGCTTGTAGTTTTCTTTTCTCTTATACTTTGATTGATTTTGAAAATTTTTAAATTTTTTAATGACATGATCTTTGTTCCCAAAATTTAGTAATTCGAACAAAGAGTGTTGAATTCATGCCATTCTATCTCTCCCTCTCAACATTCTTGCTGAGCACCTTGTTCTTCCTATATGGCATCTTTAACTTCGATGCCTTTATTTACGTGAGTTGCCTCTAACATCGATGACAGCTTCTTGTTTTCAATTTGATAGTTGTCAATCTTATATGTTAACATCACCTCTTTGTTCTTCAGGTTCCAAATGGAATCGGAACTGTGTTGGGGATTCTACAACTCGTGTTGTACTTCTACTATAAAACAAAGTCCTTCGAATGATCCCAAGAACCACTCATGGTGTCACACGTGTGACTCTTGCTTTTTTCTTTGAATAGGTAATTACTTCTATATTCTGTTTCTATGCTTCGATGATTTTCTGATGGTATGCTGGTGGAAAGTTTTTTTTATGTTGAGGTGTATAGTGACAAGAATCTTGATGTATGGTCTCGTTTGTTGTATTTTCCTGAGCGTGTTCCATTTCTTTGTCTGAACAAATTTGTTTGTCAACACTCTGAGTTAATAAGGGGAAGTGTCTAGGCTTTGCATACATGAGCGAAGCATAACCCGATTTCTGCTTGAGACCGATTCAATTACATATGGCTACTATTTTTGCATCCTACCACATTTGAACACAATTTGTGCTCACTTGAATGCATAAAGGAAACCGAGGTTGATTTCCTGCCATGTCTGTTTTCACTTGTTTAACCTCAAAAGCATCACCAATTTTTGGATACGGATGTTCGAGTATGTTCCGAAAGCAAATACATAAAGGAAAATTAAGGGTCGGAATAATATAGGTTCCAGACTTGTAGAAAGTTGAATTAAGAAGGATTCTCATCAGTTCTGCAGAAATGAAAAGCTAGTACTTGTTAGATTTCAGCTTAGATTAGATAACTTGAATTAGCTTCAATATCCTTTGCCCAAGTTACTCAGTTTCGACTGTTAATCATGCTAGTTTATATCATACTGGTATCGATGCTATCGACTGTTAAATCAATTTTTAACTACATATTTCAAATTCGGTTTAAGATTATATCAATCATGATTAAAACGATGTTCATATTTTGAAAAGGCAAAGGATTCAATTACATTATGGGAAAAATTTTCTTTGTAACATCTCGTAGAGTACGAAAAATGAAGGAGGCCACTCAGTGTTGTTCTCACCACTGCACTGAATTTCACCTGCAATAATATAAGCTATGGGTGTATTTAATTCGATTTGATTTTTAATAAAAGATTAATCTAGCAACACATATTTTTTAAAATCGAAACTGAAATCGAATCAAATGGCATAAAAATCATAGTTTTTGATTTAATTTGGTTCAAATTTATGATTTTCTATTGTTCACTATTTTTTAGATTCAACAACCAAACCTTAAAGCTTAAACAGAGTGCAAATATTACAGCTTTAAGTTCATAAAGAAAAAAATATTAATCTTTAAGGTTTTATTTATTTAAGTTCATCTTATAAACAATGTTATGTTAGTAGAGAATTGGGTGTAATCGAGCTGAGTTAAATTCGAACTTGATATATATAAATCTAATCTAAAATCAAGGTAATACATGTTTAAAGGTTCTCAACCAATATATGTTGTTGCTCATACCTTTACATATATAATATTCTAATCCGAAATCTCAAAATATCAACAAACCACTAAGTCTTTAAAAGAGCTTCTCCGTTATAAATTTCATTCGAGACATTGCAGTAAAAATACAATATTGATTTTAGCTATGGAAGTTGAAGAACATAAAATCGCCTCTTGATCGCCTGATCGGAACTTCTCTTGATAAATCATCAGGCAACTGCCTTCTTTCACCGTACAAAACAGCTCACTAAACCACAACTTACATTTCCCCCCATAAGTATCGGCCGTTGCCAAACCGACAACACTGAGTTATGACTCTGCCACTGCATATTCTTTCAATCCTAGCAAGAGCGGGTGCCTCTCCCGTCACATTTTAGCTCTGCTCACACCATTTCACATCCATGAGTCTGTGACTGTGTCTTGGTCCACCATTGGCAACCACAAGCCTTCCATTTGAAACCATGGCGGGGCAAAGACCAACAATGGTGGATGCAGCACAAATGAAGATAATTGCTTCTTCAGTTATGAGTTTGGTAACACGGGTTGTAGTTCTTATCGAAAGACATTCTCGAGGCCGATTTTTCAACCATGCTAAGACTAAACAGAAACCCCTATTGCCAAAATCAAGTCAAAACCAAGCGAGGACTACGTCTCATGATAATATGTACTGCATTGTCCCTACATTCCGGTGAGCCGTGACGACGACTGATGCAGCACCAACTGCACAAAACTGGGTTTGCACGTGCAAGAGCTTTACATCAACATGTAGTATTTGCTCGGTCTTGGATTTAGTTTGGAACCTATATTATTGTATATATATATATATAAGATAAATAAATAATTATTGTATATAGAAAATATAATAAACATTATATCTTAGATAACAAAAATAATTTACATCTTTTTATTATTATAAATATCTATGAAGAATTTTCACAATGTAAACATTTATTTCCATGATGTAAAATTTTAATATATTTTTACATAAATTATGTAAAATTTAATATTAATTAAAATTAAAATAATACATGATATATTTAAATACTCAAGTAATATATTATCAACAAATAGAATTTTTATATAAATAATTTTTATTTAAAGATTTAGAATTTAACTTGCTAAAAAATATAGAACAAGGACAATTTGGTAAAATATACATTCCAGTAATCTTTTATTCCATCAACCAAACACTGTAATCTTACATTCCTGCCAAACCAACCAAACACAGTAATGTAACATTCCCAGTAATCCTATTCCTTAATTATCTTTTATTCCCACTAGTAATCTTACATTCCGTGAACCAATCACACCCTAAAAATATAAACTGCGGAGGACCATATGTGAAGTACGTAGCTACGAAGGAAGGTTCCCTAGTTGTAATCTATGTTATCTGATTTCTTTTATATTTTATTTCGAACATTTTTGTACAACACTTGTATTAGACATGCACGACAAACGCAAGGACATGATGTTTTAAATATATAAAATTTCAAAATTATTAAAATAAAACAATCTAATCTTAGGGGGTTTGGATGGGGGAATGTGGGATTTTCATAGGAATGAAATCCACATTCTCTCGTTTGGTTAGCCCGGAAATCATGTTCCCGGTAATGTAAGATTACTAATAGTGGATTTTTTGAGTATATTATCGGGAATGTCATTACCTCCATTTCCTTAGGTATTGTTGGATTACCGATATTTTGGACTAAAATGCCCTTAAATTTTTTTTCTTCAAAAATATCATTCTTCTGTCATTAAATAATAAAAATTCTACGAAGGTTAAATTACAAATTTATCCTTAAACTAGTTTATATTTACAAAAAAAATCTATAATTAAAATTTTATATGAAATTCAGGGGTTAAAATAAAATTTTACCCTTTCATTAAATCTTTTTATATTTTTAATTTTGTAAAAAAAAAAAATATAATTTTATGAATTTAATTTTTTTAAAATAAAATATATAAATATTTTCCAATTTGTTAAAAAAACAAATATATAATAAGGACAGTTTGGCCAAATATACATTCCAATAATCTTTTATTCCTTTAACCAAACACGGTAATCTTACATTCTCGCTAAGCCAACCAAACACAAAATACAACATTCTCAGCAATCCTATTCCCTGATAATCTTACATTCTCACTGGTAATCTTACATTCCGTAAACCGAACGCACCCTTAATGCTTTATCTTTTGTCTGCATTCAAAATTGTATCTATTTATGTATCTGCACCATGATTGTATATTTATATAAAATCCGATGCGTCGATTGTTTGTATTATATTGATTTATGATTTTAATAACTTAATATATTTATATTATATGTTGAAAATAATATGGGTTAAAAAATAAAAAGTGAACATGCCTGTAGAAAATAAATTGTATGAAATAAGATAATTTTATTGTGTTGTGTCCCTGAACGAAGCATAGCTTTCACCCCTTTAGGGATGGTAAAAATATTTGATGGATTTTGATCAGACTCGTTACTATAGGATTGGGTTTTTTTAATAAAAAAATCTAGGTATGGGGTGAATTTTGTGAAAGAGAGAGTTGGATCAAGAAAAAATATATATTTAGAATAAAAGTTTTTAATTTGACCCGACTGGAATAATTTTTATAACATACCTCTATATATCTAAGAAAAATTAATATGATGTTACTCCATATATATATATATATATATATATATATATATCAATTATCTTTTTGTGTTAACAAATAAAAAATACTAAAATTATTTGTATTGAGTCGAGGGTAAATTTTAATCCCAAAATTCATATCATATAAAATATCACCTAACAACAAGATTGAATTCAATAAAATATCACCTGATATACAATATGCTCGAACCCGTAATCTCTAAGAATAACAATCATTATTTTAATCACTAATATAACTTATTCGTACAATTTAACTTATTATATTATGAATTTAAAAAAAATACTTGAAATAATAGTAAATTATTAATTACTATTGAACAATTAATATATAAACTATGCAAATACAATTATATATCGTAGAAAATAAATTTAAATTAAATTTTGAACAAATTATAATTTTAATAAGCTTTTATCCGAAAAACATTAAGATTTAAAAAGTCAAATTAATAGTAAAATTTATAATAATAAATGAAACAATAATAATAAAAAAATTAACAGTAAAAAGAGCCGTTACACTTACAGCATGACCAAAACAACCCTTGAGTCGGCGTTTGCCGCTTCTTTATAAAGTCTCCATTGGCAGAAAAAATAAGGAGGGAATGAGATCCGCTTCTTTCTTCTTCTTGTTGAAGGATTCACCTGCTCTTTTGAAGATTCAAGGTATGTTATTATTGTTTTTTTTTTGTTTTCTCCTCATAATTTTCGTTAGTCGTATACAGAGGATGTGGTTTAGGTTTTTCGGCGTCTTTCTTGAATTGCTGGAGTTATCTTCAGGTTTAATTTTTTTTTTCTGTTGATTTGATATTTGATTCATGGATACCTCGAGTATTACAGTGTTAGATTCTAGGTTTTCCTAACTTTTTGATGTAAATAAATCAAGCAGGTAGTTGTGCTTTGTAGATTTTTCATTTAGTTTGTGATGCTTTTGGTTCCTAATGTGGGTTTTGGCCCCTATGGTGAATTTTCACAAATTATCTATTTCATGATTTTTTTTTCTGGTTTGCATTTTCATTCTTTTCTAATGGCTTACTCAATCAAATATTTTCCACCTCAAACCTGGAAATCCTGATTGTGTGTTCATAATATGGATGTGTGGAGCAAGCAAGGAAAATAGTTTCCAAAAGCAAACTGTATAACCTCTTTTAATCTCCCTAAACCATAGATTATGTGAGTTCAGATAGCAAATTTGTGTGATCTATGATGATGACTTACTCTCCTGATTTTATATAGATTATGGATTGGAGAGCTTGAAACTATTGTATACCTTCATACGCGCCATACCTTGTCGTCAGGGACACGAGAATGAAGGACTCCCTTGTAAGCCTCTCATTACTAAAGTATTCACAAGTTCTGATGATCAGTGGTTAGTTGTTATCAACTGCTTTGGATATATATCAAAATTCAATCTGGAGATACCAAGGTAAGAAATTACATTTGAAACAATTATTAAATAGGTATTACTTGATAGCAATTCAAGAGAACATAGTGGCTAATGATCAGTGCTTGTCTGGTACTGGTTCCTTGAGGGTTGGAGCTGAGCTTTTAGCAAAGCAATTAATAGTGCACAATCTTCTTCTGTTTCTAATTTGTGTTCTAGTGAGTTGTTATTATTTGAGGAGCATTGAATGCTTCTTTTGCCCATCTTATGTTTGCTAGCGTACTATATAAATTCCACTGCCATCACGGGGAAACCATTTGAAAGATTTCACGATGGGGAAACAAATTAATGCCTTCATTAATTACAGTTTTCAATAAATCATTTCCTTTTGATTGGTGCATTGAGAGTGAGAACATGCTTATACGGTACATGATTTAGACTTGGCTATTCTCCATATGTCTTACTACAAAATATGCGATTTCCCTTTTATTGCTTGCTTTTGGTTTTAAATTCTAGGTGATGTACCTGCTGGAGCTATAGTGCTTCTTCATGCCTGTGCTCATAACCCAATGGGTGTTGATCCAACTATTAAACAACGGGAACAGATCATACAGTTGATAAGATCTAAAGGGCTATTGCCCTTCTTTGACAGTGCTAATCAGGTAATTGTCTGATGTTTGAATGTTGCTTAGTGTACTCCATAGACGTTAATCTTATAGTTTTCATAGGTTATAGAATGGTTATTTTACACTTGAATTTTGACATCTAGGGATTTGTAAGTGGTAACTTAGATGCAAATGCACAACATGTTCGCATGTTTACTGCAGATGGGGGAAATGCTTTGTAGCTCAAAGCTACGTAAAAAACATGGGACCTTATAGTGAAGTGAAATACTTAAAAAAGTTTAAAGAAATTTTTATACTATATCAAAATATTACAAATAAATTATAAAAAAATAGTTATTTTACTATATTTTAAGTTAATATATTTAAAATATTTAACACTAAAATTTTAAACTCAACTTCTTTTAAGAACTTTTAAAAGGCATTTTCTTATAGTACTTTTCAAAAGCATTGCCAAACCTATTTTGATGGGTTCGTAGACAAAGCCAGAATGATGGTTAATATTTTTTGATTCTACGTTATTAAAAAAACTAAACATGGTCGTAGTATTTTTTAATGGAGAATTTCTTATATTGATTTCTTTTGTAAGTTATAAATATAAAGAGATTCACTTGAATAAAGAAGAAGGTGATGAAGTATATGAGGTGCTTATGATTGCGCTCAACCTCAATGTTTTCTTGGTGCAACCTATTTGTGCTGTGCCGAACATATGAGGGGTTGTTGGGATATACAACTTTATACTTCCTGATTCATTCTCTATTCTTATAACTCCAAATTAATATCTCCCCTCAAATGATTGTGGCCAAATGATTTCAAGGGACATGGAATTTGGGTTCCTAGCACCAAAAATACATGATTTCTTTGTAATATAGCTTTTGACGTGAATAAAATATTTGATAGTACACAATATACTTAAATGTTGCATGAAATGATATTTTTGTCTCACCCTAACTACATCTGACTTGATGCTTGTATTTTTAATATTTTTAGCTCTAATTTGTTCTTGTCTAAAAATTTGATATAAAATAATTATCCGCTTTATCTTTTTTGGTTTTGTGTTAGTTATTGTGTAAAAGAACTCACAAGTTATTGTTTTAGCTTGAAATGGAATAGTCGGTGGCTTGATCCTCATGTATTTTTCCAACGGTAATCTCTTGTTGTTGTACTTCTTCAAGGATTCTCCTTCTGCTCATCTTTCTTAAAGGTATGCTTTTAGTTCCTGGTGTGGGTTTATACCCCTGTAGTGAATTTTCTGAAGCTAGAAATATATTATTCTCCTATTTTCACTTCCTTCTCATTACAAGGAATTCTAGTCTATGATATACTTGAACTTTTGAAATTTCTATTGAAGAAAACAGTGACGAGGATAGTATGCATAACAACGAACTAGTAATTTAGTTAGGTTGTTACATGGAATCTATCACATGCATCGACCTATAAGATCCTTTTTCCCTATCATGTTAGATATACATATAAAGAGATATCGTTGATATTACTTTCTTTTAATTTCATTAAAAAAGTTGTAAAGTTGTTTAGCTTGCAATATCTATCCTTTCAGTTTGGTTTGTCTATTCTAAGACCATTTGAATTGACTAATTATTCTAAAATTAAAGGCTAAACAGTATAGAAAATTTATTCATGCTTTTTTTAACAGAGAATATATATTTGGAACTTTATTTTCTATAAGCAATAAGTATAGAGATGTTCTCTTGAATAGAGATGAAGGTGATGATGTATAGGAGGTAATTATAATTGGTTTCAGCCTCGGTGTTTTCATGGTGTAGCTAGCCTATTTCTGCTGTGCCGAACATCTGAGGGTTGTTTGGCTGAATGAATATACAACTTCCTACTTTCTGATTCATTCTCTATTCTTATAAGTTATAACTTCAATTTCATATCTCTCCACAAATGATGGTGGCCAAATAATTTTCAGCAAATAGGGAATCTATGTCCCAAGCACCAAAATAATATTTTTTCTTTGTAAAATTCTATTTGGAACTTTTTTTTATATAAGCAATAAGTATAGAGATGTTCTCTTGAATAGAAAGGAAGAGGATGAAGTATAGGAGGTAATTATGATTGGTTTCAGCCTCGATGTTTTTCTGGTGCAGTCTATTTGTGCCGTGCCGAACATCTGGGGGTTGTTTTCCTGATTGAATATACAACTTCCTACTTTCTAATTCATTCTCTATTCTTATAATTTATAACTCCAATTTCACATCTATTCACAAATGACAATGGCCAAATGATTTTTAGCTTATAGGAATCGGTATTTTGAGCCCCAATTTTTTTTTGTAATATCCTATTTGAAACTTTTTTTTTCTATAAGAAATAAGTATATAGATGTTCTCTTGAATTGAGAGGAAGGTGATAAAGTATAGGAGGTAATTATGACTGGTTTCAAACTTGATGTTTTCCTGGTGCAACCTATTTGTGCTATGTCGAACATATGGGGTTATTTGGCTAAATGAATATACAACTTCCTACTTTCTAATTCATTCTCTATTATTATAACTCCAATTTCACATCTCTTCACAAATGATGGTGGCCAAATAATTTTCAGTAGATAGAGAATCGGTGTTCTGAGCACCAAAATAATATTTTTTCTTTGTAATATCCTATTTGGAACTTTCTTTTCTGTAAGTAATAAGTACAAAAAAAATTCTTGAATAGAGAGGAAAGTGATGAAGTGTAGGAGGTAATTATGACTGGTTTCATCCTCGATGTTTTCCTGGTGCAGTCTATTTGTGTTGTGCCGAACATCTGGAGGTTGTTTGACTGAATGAATATACAACTTCCTACTTTCTGATTCATTCTCTATTCTTATAACTCCACAAATGATAGTGGCCAAATTATTTTCAGTAAATAAGGAGTCGGTGTTCAGAGCACCAAAATAATATTTTTTTCTTTGTAATATCTTATTCGAAACTTTCTTTTCTATAAGAAATAAGTATAGAGATGTTCTCTTTATAATTGGTTTCTTTTCTATATAAAGTAAATATATAATGTTAAAAAAATATCACTAACATATGATTAAAAAATTATTTTGATTTTTAATGTTGTGATAAAATAATTTTGATTAGGTAAAAAAATTAGGTGACTAATGGTTAATGTTTATCACTAATATGATATGTCATATGGGTTAAAGTACTTAAAGAATTATTTTAATCTTTAATGTTGAAATAGTTTTGGTTGGATAGAAATAGTTATATATGTTTAAAGTGACGAGGTGGTATATGTTAGGTACAAAGCTACATAAAGATCGAAAGGAGTTGTATTTCTTCAAATTTTTAGTATAATGATATTTTAGGTCTTTTTAATTTAAGTTTTAGTTAAATAAGGTCTTAGCTCCATTCCCGGTGTATCCACGTATTTAAAGTGATGACATAGAATATGTTATGTGTCTAAAATGATGATGTAGCACATATTATATATCTAAAGGGATGACGTATCATGTGTCTAAAGTGATGAAATTACATGTCACGTTTCAAAGTTAATAATATTATATGTTATGAGGTCAAAGTGATAACATGACATATTATGTGTCAAAAGTAATTATATTTTATATGTCATATGTTTAAAAAATTAAATTATAATCTCCGGAAAAATATTAAGATTTAAAAAGTCAAATTAATGGTAAAAAAAAAAAATTAACAGTAAAAAGAGCCATTACACTTACAGCAGGACCAAAACAGCCCTTGAGTAGGTGTTTACCGCTTCTTTTTAAAGTCTCCGTTGGCAGAAAAAATAAGGAGGGAATGGGATCCGCTTCTTTCTTCTTGTCAAAGGATTCGCCTTCTGCTCTTTTGAAGATTCAAGGTATGTTATTTTTTTTTTTGGTTTTATCCTCATAATTTTCGTGAGTGATATACAAGGATGGGGTTTAGGTTTTTGGGTGTCTTTCTTGAATTGCTGGAGTTATCTTCATGTTTAATTTTTTTTTTCTGTTGATTTGATATTTGATTCATGGATACCTCGAGTATTACAGTGTTAAATTCTAGGTTTTCCTAACTTTTTGATGTAAATAAATCAAGCAGGTAGTTATGCTTTGTAGATTTTCATTTAGTTTGTGATGCTTTTGGTTCCTAATATGGGTTTTAGCCCCTGTGGTGAATTTTCACAAATTATATATTTCATGATTTTTGTTTTTTCTGGTTTGCATTTTCTTTCTTTTCTAATGGCTTAATAAAATATTTTCCACCTCAAACCTGGAAATCCTGATTGTGTGTTCATAATATGGATGTGTGGAGCAAACAAGGAAAAAAGTTTCCAAAAGCAAACTGTATAACCTCTTTTTATCTCTCTAAACCATAGAATACGTGAGTTCAGATAACACGTTTGTGTGATCTATGATGATGACATACTCTCCTGATTTTATATAGATTGTGGATTGGAGAGCTTTAAAGTATTCACAAGTTCTGATGATCAGTGGTTAGTTGCTATCGACTGCTTTGGATATATATCAAAATTCAATCTGGAGATACCAAGGTAAGAAGTTGCATTTCAAACAATTATTAAATAGGTGTTACTTAATAGCTATTCAAGAGAACATAGTGGCTAATGATCAGTGCTTGTCTGGTACTGGTTCCTTGAGGGTTGGAGCTGAGCTTTTAGCAAAGCAATTAATAGTGCACAATCTTCTTCTGTTTCTAATTTGTGTTCTAGTGAGTTGTTATTATTTGAGGAGCATTGAATGCTTCTTTTGCCATCTTTTGTTTGCCAGCCGACTATATACATTCTACTGCCATCACCGGGAAACCACTTGAAAATTTTCACGATGGGGAAACAAATTAATGCCTTAATTAATTACAGTTTTCAATATATCATTTTCTTTTGATTGGTGCATTGAGAGTGAGAACAACGGTACATGATTAAGACTTGACTATTCTCCATATGTCTTACTACAAAATATGCGTTTTCCCTTTTATTGCTTACTTTTGTTTTTAAATTCTTGGTGATGTACCTGCTGGAGCTATAGTGCTTCTTTGTGCCTGTGCCCATAACCCAATGGGTGTTGATCCAACTGTTAAACAACGGGAGCAGATCATAGAGTTGATAAGATCTAAAGGGCTATTGCCCTTCTTTGACAGTGCTAATCAGGTAATTGTCTGATGTTAGAATGTTGCTTAGTGTACTCCATAGACGTTAATCTTATAGTTTTCATAGGTTATAGAATGGTTATTTTACACTTGAATTTTGACATCCAGGGATTTGTAAGTAGTAGCTTAGATGCAGATGCACAGAATGTTCGCATGTTTACTGCAGATGGGGGGCATGCTTTGTAGCTCAAAGCTACTAAAAAAACATGGGACCTTATAGTGAATTGAAATACTTAAAAAAGTTTAAAGAATTTTTTATACTATATCAAAATATTACAAATAAATTATAAAAAAATAGTTATTTTACTATATTTTAAGTTAATATATTTAAAATATTTAACACTAAAATTTTAAACTCAACTTCTTTTAAGAACTTTTAAAAGGCATTTTCTTATAGTACTTTTCAAAAGCATTGCCAAACCTATTTTGATGGGTTCGTAGACAAAGCCAGAATGATGGTTAATATTTTTAGATTCTACGTTATTAAAAAAACTAAACATGGTCGTAGTATTTTTGAATGGAGAATTTCTTATATTGATTTCTTTTGTAAGTTATAAATATAAAGAGATTCCCTTGAATAGAGAAGAAGGTGATGAAGTATATGAGGTGCTTATGATTGGTCTCAGCCTCAATGTTTTCTTGGTGCAGCCTATTTGTGCTGTGCCGAACATATGAGGGGTTATTGGGATATACAACTTTATATTTCCTGATTCATTCTCTATTCTTATAACTCCAATTTAATATCTCCCCTCAAATGATTGTGGCCAAATGATTTCAAGGGACATGGAATTTGTGTTCTTAGCACCAAAAATACATGATTTCTTTGTAATATAGCTTTTGACTTAAATAAAATGTTTGATAGTACACAATATACTTAAATGTTGCATGAAATGATATTTTTGTCTCACCCTAACAACATCTGACTTGATGTTTGTATTTTAATATTTTTAGCTCTAATTTGTTATTGTCTAAAAATTTGATATAAAATAATTATCCGTTTTATTTTTTTTGGTTTTGTGTTAGTTATTGTGTGAAAGAACTCACAAGTTATTGTTTTAGCTTGAAATGAAATAGCCGGTGGTTTGATCCTCGTGTATTTTTCCAACGGTAATCTCTTGTTCTTCTTCTTCAAGGATTCACCTTCTGCTCATCTTTCTTAAAGGTATGCTTTTAGTTCCTGGTGTGGGTTTATGCCCCTTTAGTGATTTTTCTGAAGCTAGAAATATATTCTTCTCCTATTTTCACTTCCTTCTCATTACAAGGAATTCTAGTCTATACTATACCTGAACTTTTGAAATTTCTGTTGAAGAAAACAGTGATGAAGATAGTATGCATAACAACGAACTAGTAATTTAGTTAGGTTGTTACATGGAATCTATCACATGCATTGACCTATAAGATCCTTTTTCCCTACCATGTTGGATATGCATATCAAGAGAAATCGTTGATATTACTTTCTTTTCAAATTCATTAAAAAGTTGTAAAGTTGTTAAGCTAGTAATATCTACTCTTTCAGTTTGGTTTGTCTATTCTAATACCATTTGAATTGATTAATTAATCTAAAATTAAAGGCTAAATTGTATAGGAAATTTATTCATGCTTTTTTTAACAAAGAATATCTATTTGTTTCTATAAGCAATAAGTATAGAGATGTTCTCTTGAATAGAGATGAAGTTGATGAAGTATAAGAGGTAATTATGTCTGGTTTCAGCCTCGATGTTTTCTTGGTGTAACCAACCTATTTCTGCTGTGCCGAACATCTGAGGGTTGTTTGGTTAAATGAATATACAACTTCCTACTTTCTGATTCATTCTCTATTCTTATAAGTTATAACTCCAATTTCACATCTCTCCACAAATGATGGTGGCCAAATGATTTTCAGCAGATAAGGAATCTATGTCCCGAGCACCAAAATAATATTTTTTTCTTTGTAATATTCTATTTGGAACTTTCTTTTCTAAAAGCAATAAGTATAGAGACGTTCTCTTGAATAGAAAGGAAGGGGATGAAGTATAAGAGGTAACTATGACTGGTTTCAGCCTCGACGTTTTTCTGGTGTAGCCTATGTGTGCTGTGCTGAACATCTGGGGGTTGTTCTGCTGAATGAATATACAACTTCCTAGTTTATAATTCATTCTCTATTATTATAATATATAACTCCATTTTCACATCTCTTCACAAATGATAATGGCCAAATGATTTTCAGCATATAGGGAATCGGTGTTCCGAGCACCAAAATAATATTTTTTTCTTTTTAATATCCTATTTGAAACCTTTTTTTCTATAAGAAATAAGTATAGACATGTTCTCTTGAATAGAAAGTAAGGTGATGAAGTATAGGAGGTAATTATGACTGGTTTCAAACTTTATGTTTTCCTGGTGCAATCTATTTGTGCTGTGTCGAAAATCTGGGGTTGTTTGGCTAAATGAATATACAACTTCCTACTTCCTACTTTCTAATTCATTCTCTATTCTTATAAGTTAAACTCCAATTTCACATCTCTCCATAAATGGTGGCTAAATAATTTTCAGCAGATAGAGAATTGGTGTTCCGAGCACCAAAATAATATTTTTTCTTTGTAATATCCTAGTTGGAACTTTCTTTTCTATAAATAATAAATATAGAGATTTTTTATTGAATAGAGAGGAAAGTGATGAAGTATAGGAGGTAATTATGACTGGTTTCATCCTCAATGTTTCCCTGGTGCAGTCTA